CTTCACCAGCGTGTAAACACCTGCACCGGCCAGAGCACCCAGCGTCGGAGCCACCAAATAGATCCATATATGCTTGTAATTTCCTGCTGCAATCGCGGGCCCCAGCGTCCGCACCGGATTCATCGACCCACCACTTGTGGGCCTAACCATCATCAACATATACAAATATATATAAATAACTACGAGTACGTACATATCATGCTCGATCTTTTTAGTTTCAAAATAAAATATGATTATTAAGAGCGTTACCCTGATATGAGAATGTTGAGTAAAACAGTGGCCCCCACAGCGATCCCAGCCAATTCACCGACCGCGCGAGTGTCGGTAGCAACAGCAGTGACCACAAACAAGAGAATGAAAGTGATGATAAACTCAGTGGCGAAGGCTTGGGCGACGCTGACGGTGGGGACAGTGACCCCACCGGAGAGGAAGGGGTGGTAGACGCCTTTGAGAGCATAGCAGGCGCAGATGGAGGCAGAGACTTGGGCAGCTATGTACGCGGGGACCTGCGTCCATGGGAAGTGGCGAAAGGTGGCGAAGGCAATGGTGAGGGATGGGTTCAGGTGTGCGCCTGAGATGTGGCCAATGGAGAGAATGATGAACATCACTGTTAGCCCTGCACACGCTGCGTTTCCCATCAGCGTCACCACTCCCTCGTACTTGTTGTTCACTATGGGTCCAGCCGTTGCTGCAAATATCAATATGAACGTCCCCACAAACTCTGCTCCAATCTGCACTAATCATAAACCATTCTTAACTTTAAAACAGATTAATACGCCTTCTGCTCACCCCTTTTATCATTTTATTATTATTAATTATATCAATGCTTGTTGTTTAGATGTTAGTCATTATTGAAAGCTTTGGGTCAATGGATCTGAAGAGCCTACATATAATTTTAGTGTGTTGATTTTGAATGAAATTTAATAACATATATTATGTATCAGTATAATTTCTATCTATACTTTTTTATTGGAGTATATCTTTACTCGTATTAGATATGTTATTGTATAGGGCTACTTTTTCAGTTAGTTATGTTCTGTATTTCTGTTTTTACTTTTTACCTGTTTAACAGGTTCTGTTTTTCTATTTTTTACTTTTTACCTGTTCAACAGGTCATTGTTTCAATAGTCTTCCTTGAAGCTATTGAAACATATAAATAGGACAATTGTATTCTGATTTGTTACCTAAGAAATATAATTCAAATCTTTCTATCAATTCTGCTCTCTCTCTGTGTTCTCTTTCTTTTCTGTTTTCTGTTTTCAAGATTGACATAATTCTAATATGGTATCAGAGCTTTGTCCGAAGACTCAAAGCCTGGAGGTTGGGACATATAGACCTCTTCTTGAAGGTTGTCATTTAGGAAGGCGTTGTTGACATCCAATTGTTGAATTGACCAGTGATGGGTTAGGGCTAGGGTGAGAATGAGGCGGATGGTGACAGGTTTGACAACAGGTGAGAAGGTTTCATTATAGTCGGACCCAAACTGTTGATGGAAGCCTTTTGCAACAAGGCGTGCCTTATACTTATTGACAGTACCATCCAAATTTTCTTTAATACGAAACACCCACTTACAGCCAATGGCTGTTTTGTTTGGAGGAAGAGACACAAGAGTCCAAGTACCATTGTTTAGAAGGGCATTATATTCCTGCTTCATAGCAGCAAGCCAGGTATCACTGGCCAAAGCTTGTTTGGTATTTTTGGGTTCAATGTGGGTGAGTAAGAGAGTGGGTTGAAGGCGAGGTTTTACAATGCCAGCTTTGGCACTGGTAGTCATGGGGTGAATGTTAGTAATTGGAGCTGGGTCATGAGTGGATGATGAGGTTGATGAAGTTGGGAGAATAGGAGAGGCCAAGGCAGATGAAGTGGTGGTAGGGATGGATGGGAAAGTGGAGTTCTGAGTTGTAGGTGATGTAGGTGGAGAGCTGAGTGTAGAAGGATCAGTTTGCATAGGAGGCTGTGGATTGGTTATTACAAGAGGAATCACAAAAATAATAATGAAAATTGAATCTCTTAATGAAATAGCAAGGAGCCTTATTAAATATAACAATGACTACTTGTTCTAATATATTTGTTTACAATATATACAACTTAAATAACTTTTATAGTATATTATTAATTTTAAATTATATATTTAATAATTCAATATCTATGTAAATATTACATATATTATTTTGTGATATTAATTGCAAGCATATTATATATGTACATATTATTTATATTTTTAATTTGTATTAATATACCGTTTAACATGTAATTTTTTTATGTATTTTTTTACAAAATAAAAATAAAAATAATTTTAAATAAGATAGAAAAATTGAAATTTAAAATAAGATATGAATTTATTAAAATTTATAAGTATAAAATATATTTAATAT